GAAGCTCATTCATTCAGACAGAACACTTTCCTTCTGCAACTCTTCGATGTATGTTTCTCAATATTCGATCATGCTGATGGTCCAAGGAGCTTGGCAACCAGAATGGTACTGGTAAGTGGATGGTTTGCACCTGTTGCAATTCCAGTTTCATTATTAGCACTTGCTGCTCACAAGATACCAGAAAAGCATAAGGGGACCTGTTTGTGGAGAAAATTTCTGCAATCCTTAACTTGTGGATTCTCATCCTCTCACACCAAAAAATCAGAATTAGATGCATCTTCTCTGCTTCTAAGATTTAATATTGCAAGGAGCAGTACCAAGCAAGGATATATCCAATTCAATGAACTCATCAAACTATATGCTCAGAAAAGAGAAGTTACTGGATCTGCACAAGCAATGGTTCAAGCTGTTATCAGTCAAGGGTCAATATCTCAAAATCTGGAGCATTTATGGGCTGCATGTTTTCTGCTATTCGGATTTGGTCATAATCCTGCAGTTGTTGAGCTCGAAGTTTCCGAGCTTATATATCTTGTAAAAAAAGTGGTTCTGCCTCTTGCAATTCACACTTTCATTACATACTCTCGATGCACTGTTGCTCTAGAGCTTCTGCTTCTGTGCACCAATGCCTTAGAAGCTGCGGATCAAGCATTTGTTACCCCAGTTGACAAGTGGTTTGACAAATCACTTTGTTGGAGGTCCATTCAGACTAATGCTCAATTGAACCCTTGCCTTTGGCAAGAACTGGCTTTATGTAGAGCCACTGTACTTGAGACTAGGGCCAAGCTAATGCTAAGGGGTGCTCAATTTGACATTGGGGATGATCTAATCAGGAAGGCTGTTTTTATCAGGACTTCAATTTGTGGTGAAGATCATCCAGATACCATATCTGCTCGTGAAACATTAAGCAAACTCACCAGACTAATTGCAAATGTCCGAATTCATGCTTCAGCTTAGATTTTGCACTTTGTAAGGAAACTCTAGAATTATACAAAAAGATTTATAATAAAACTAGTCCTGTATACTGTTTCATCAAACTTTCTACAGCATATTTAAAAGTCTAATATGTGATGCCTTCCATTTTTCTTGACTTAAATTATCTGGCACATGTATAGTGTGTCTCCTCATATAAATGCTGTAAATACTTTTTGATTACATTGTTATTTCCCACTGTTACACTATTGGCACACGGGAATAAGTAATTAATTTTGTTTTTATTTGGTGGAGGTCTTAGCCTCCGACTCCAACTAGTTTGGAATAAAGATGATATTGATGTTGTTGGAAGTCTTAGTCTCTGAGGCATTCAACTATGCATCATCTGGTAGTTCAAGGAGTTACATGTTGTTAGAGTGCTTGACTTCATATTTTTACGCCTCTTCCTGTTGATAAGAGTTTTTTTTTTGTTATCTTTGTTAACTTTGACATTTCTAGTTCCCTACAAGTAGATGATCCCTATTCTCTGAGTTAATTTCTTTTAATCTCATTATCTGTACTGTACACCTTGAAAATTTATTCATTGATCAAGATGATTACTGATAACAGAACCTGGGAGTTTTTCTGTGTCATTTGTGTCCGCATGAATGGTCATTCCTCAATCCTCACTTAACATATATTGGTAATTCCAGATCAGAAAATATAAAAATGAAAAATAAACATATATGCCCTCACGCAGGATCGAACTACGGACCTTCAGTTTACAAGACTGACGCTCTACCACTGAGCTATAAGGGCCAAGTGATGATAGTGGGTATTATTTACAATATATAGCAAACCTCCACTACTACTCCATCGATAAGTGTTTGATTTTTTGTGTATGTATTTGAAATTTTTATCCAAAAACAAACTAAATAAATGGCTTTTTATAAATAATAATTTTTATTTTTATGAAACTATTATTGCTATAGGAAGTTTAGCACAGGACCAAACATGCACCTAAGTCTACCCAAAAAAAGTAATTTTTAAGCAAATTCATGCGTCTTCCTTCTACATATAGATAATAGATAAATATTTCAAATCATATGAAATTTCATCTGTTTTAAGAACTCAAACAGTTTTTAAATGTTTTCATAAGCCCTCTTTGGATTTTTCCTAATTCAAAATATTTCCTGGGGGGATTTTTGTAAATTTTTTAATACGAGAAATTTGTGTAATACTATCATAATATAAGAAAGATGGAAGTAACTGAGTAACAAGTATTGACAAATGATAACAAATGCAGATCTGATCTGCAATATGCTTGATATAGAAAGCACGGATGACTTTTTTCTTCGGTTCATAAATACAAAGTTCCAACAATTTCAATGTCTTTTCACATGGTTCCGGTTTTTTGTGATACTAGAAGTACTCCATTTTTCTCTTGGCTGGTTTTGGAAATTGTACTTTAGAAAAGCACAACGGAAATATGACAGATCTATATCTATGGACTATGGTTGGCCTGGAAAGAAACTGGGTTGGGTAACTTAATGATTGATTCATTTAGAAATAGTAAATTCAACTTGGTCTCTTTAATTTGTGGTACTCAATAATATTACATGAGGTTTAATTTTACTAAATCAAAGCTTACCCCGTTTTCAGGTGTGATTTTTAATTTATTTTATTTCTTCTATACCCCCATTTGCTAAATTAACAAGCCAATCTCAGATGATCATGACCGGTTAAGCCATCAGAGCAAAATTTTGACATGCATTGACTCGTTTAGATAATTCTACAAATAAAGTGCCTTTTTTCATTGGTGCAACCGTGCAACCTAATTAGAAAGATTGTTTTATTTTATTTTATTTATATGTTGTCAGATTTAATGATTTTGTATATACTAAGCAGTAAGCATAATACAATAGAATGTGTTATCGACACATATAAGGGGTCATATTCTAAAAAGGCCTTAAAAGAGAAAATTAAGACAAATACGGTAAAACATCAATCAAGGATGTTAATTCTAATATTACAACAACGAATCTGGATGCGGGCCCTCAGAAGAGTCACCCAAGGTCCGAAATTTCAATACCCATATATAAACTTGTAAATAAGAGGTAAAATCTGCAAGTATGATTAATTCTCTCTATTATTGTTATACTGTCATTATGCATACATAGCACTCATATGGCTAATGCCGTTATTATTATTGCACTTTGATATACTAAACTACGCTGTTATTATTAGTCCACTTTGATCTACTTAACTGAAAGATATCTAATCCATAAATATTTAAGAGAGCTCGTAGATTCAACATCAACTCACTAGTCCCTTCTTAACTAGATATCTTTATTTTTAGACCGATCAGAATGAAAATAAAAAAGTTAGTTTATAAAAAATATTCATGTAAATTTTCTAATTTTAGCATGAATATCCTGTTTTTCATCATAAGTGAATTAGTTGAGGTGCGTGCAAGTTGTTATTATTTTTTTAAACCCACTAAAAATATGTTATAACCAAGTACTAGAATTTTTTTTATCTTAATTTGATTTGATTTATTTCTTTCCTTTTATGAAGGAAGATTTATCATATTTCTAAGTAACTGGACAAACCACAATTGACATTCAAATTTTTTTTTTGGGTACAATTGGCATTCGATTTTAATTTCTAAATGAAACCAACATTCCTATCTCCAATACACTTTTAATTATTATTATTTTCACTAGTGCACTTAAAATTGATTCTCACACATTCAGAAGAAATTGGCCATAAATTTGATGCCTATCTATGTGGTTGTCTAACATTTATTTGTATGTTTGTTCAGAATTTCATTTATGTTTCTATGTCATTGTTTTACTCTAAAATCGACCATAATTTTATTTATGTGTAATTGTATTTAATGATTATTTTATATACTAAAGACAATAGACAAGACTTTTCCGAAGTGAAATTATCTCAGATAAATAATCCTTTACTCATTTTTAAAAAATCTCACTTTAGAATTTCTCTCCCTCCCAAATACTAAAATGAATCTTTTCCGGATATAACACAACCAAATACTAAAATAAAAATAAGTGTTTCAATTGAATTTGTTCTAAATTTTAACCTTCTCATCTACTAAAAATTAACCTTCTCCATTGTTCTAAAAATTAAAATAAAATCCCTCATTTTGAATTTTTCACCTAGCAAACCTATTTATGTTTATTCTTTAAGACACGTATATACTTTCCAATTTACATTCAATTTATTTGGTATAAAGGAATATTTTCCTTCCTCTCTTTATTTTCCAATCGTATCACATCCTAAAAAGTTTAAAGTCGTAGACATATCTTTGAGTTATCATTAATCCTAACGTTCATCATTGGATTTGATCGAAGGTTCGAAGCAGCACCAGAAATTACGAGAATCAAACCTTGCAAAATTCCGCAGCAGGCCGCATTATTAGGAGAGAGATATTTCTCAAATTCACCATTAGATCAAGCTCAAGCTTTGACAGAAATTCCACTACTTATGGCTTTAGAGTTTGACCATTTGGATTTTCAATTGGAGCTTCCTACGAGAGTTTTGTGCAATAAAAAACAGAGGATATCAATAATTTTGTCCTGTTTAGGGTGATGAGATTCATAGAGAGATTTTTCTTTGATCAGCCATTGGATCGTCGTCAAATTTGGTTAGTGTATTCCTCTCATCTAATCGTTGAAATTTTCGAATGAAGTTTTGTGATGATTGAAATGAATTTTAGCCAAAACACTATTTTTGTAACTACCTTTTCTCTTTTGGTACAACTTGAGTTCAAGTTATTCATTGGCTTTCTACTTGTTTGTAGCTAGAGTTAGATAACTTGTAATATCACTTTTGTTTATACTAAAGAATTTAGGTGGATTCTGAAACCGGTCCTGTATTTTTTACAGAAGGTTTTCATATTAAAATTGATTGTGTTATTCTTGCATTGCTATTGGCATATCAATTAGCTTGTGATAAACCATTGATGTTCATTTGAAGAGAAATTAGTGTTATTTTTCCAAACAAAACAACAGTGAGAGGGCACAAAGTCAAACTAAAAGTTTAAATAAATGCATTCTTAAGCCAAACCAACTTGAACCTTCAAGTTACAAAAGTAAATATCTCAAACATTTAAATCATAAATCAATTTACACAACCACCATGAAATAGAAAGATTAAAGGTGAGAATTTTTCCTTCAACCTTCAGAATTGATCTCTCTTCCAATTCCAAGACCCAAATATCATATCATTTACAAGCAAGACTGTAAATAAGGCAGGCATTGTATGTAAATTTTAAGGATCAGGTTGGCCAGCAAGGCCCTCATCACTAGAGGCATAATTTTCTTCACTCAGCTCATCCTCACTAGAACTTTCCTCCTGAGAAGCTCCAACATCTTCTGGCTTGGCATATTTTTGACAATATTCTGTTCATTGGCTCTCAAAAGTTAATATATATAAAAGCAGGTGCAAAGAATAGAGCAACAGATCGAGATATGGTAGACATTAGACTGGTATACCAATGCGGCATACCATATTATACGCTATAAATTTGAACGAATGACAAAAACATGGCCAATGAAATTGTCTGGTTGGTATGGTTCATGCATTGCTTCTGGAGCTCAGGATGTCTTACAATTAGTTAATGGTAGATCTCCAAGAACTCTTTCTGATGAGGATATAAGATTCAAATGAAGCACTAGCAGAGTAGAATTTATATGACAGTAAATTGAAAATGACTAGCTTTGATCAGAAACTCAACCACCTAAAAATTGTTTTGCATTTACATGCTAAGCACTTTATAATAGCCCAGTTATCAACAACGCATTCAACATTACAGCATGATAAGTAACACAAGGTATATGTTGCCATTTGAGTATTGAAATTCAGAAGCTCTTCAAAGTTCAAACACACCCACCCTACACTCATTAATTATTATAGAGAGGGATTGATAAAAAATCGTAAGGAATGCAATGGAAATAGGTCATGCAATTTGCTATTTATCAAAACAAAAAATCAAGCAAGAAAATCTCAGTATTGTATATAAAATGCTAGGACTTCTTCACTATCAGTTATTTGCTTACTGAAAAATGAATCAATGTTAGTAGATATAAATTCTAGGCTGGTACACAATTCTTGACATTGAGAAATCCATATTCCATAGTAGCAACCCTGAAACAATGAATAATGCAAAAGCTCTGAACACGAATCCCAACCTGAAAGCTTTAAGCAAGATAAAATTGGACAAGAGTGTGGCAGCTGACATGTGTGTTGGCAAGTGAGGACATAAAACATTGAATTCTGTTGGTTTCAGGAGTGATTTTGGCTAGGGTCCTTCATGAAAGGACAAGTGAAACTTTATCTAAGATTAATTTCTGTTCATATTTGGGAGGTGTGGGCAATCATTTTGCACAGACTTGATCCTTCAAAGCTTTTTATTAACCAATTGATGATATCTCACTCCAATTGAAATTTGATGAGAATATACTGTAGTCAACCATAAAGAAGAAACCTTCATACTTATAACATAGCTTACCTGAGTATATAAGAAGCATTCTAATTTTATACTATGGAAACTTGATAAAGATTATTACCTTTGACTTTTAGTTCATATGCAGCATGATCTCGCATCATCAAAGCAGCAGCATCACCATTCAATGGATCTGATGCGTTAGGGTACAGAAGAAGCTGAGGAAGAAACACTTCAAACACATTAACAAGGTCTGCATGGAAATAAGAAAAATGAATTACCAAATCTTAAGGTAGTGGCACTAACAAACAAGCAAGGTTGAATCAAATGCATAGTAAGTATACGTATACTAATTCTTTAACAGCAATATATATTATAGAAAGTAAAGGTTGTTAATATTGCTTACCAAACATGGGACTCCAGGTTTGGTTAATAACATCTAAGCAAACTGAACCAGACCTAAATATCAGGGAAAACCATATGAATGAGCTACATAATTTTGCAATGTGCTTGTGCAACAGCCAAGAAAGGTCCCATAGAGGAAAGTGATGCTGCTTAAATATGATGCAAAAAATGAAGCTTTGGTTGTTGTTTACAACTCACATTTCATCAACATTAGGGTGGTAAATTTTATTGACAAAACCAATAGACGGAGACTTATAAGGATAAGCATCAGGTAGCTCCACTCTTATCTTCCACACACCTTCTTGATAAGGACCTGCACATGATTCACAGAAAGGTGAACGAAAAAAGAGAGGAAAAAAAAAAAAACAGTTCAGTTCAGTTCAGTTCCATCTTTTAAGTTAACCAGGCATAGATCCTAATGCAATTAATTCTCATTGAGGAAAATGGGCAAACAATTAAGCTGCAAAAGTTAAGTAAAAGTAGAAGACCACAGTGAACAATCATAATTCAGCAGCTGTTGACTGCTGATCCAAAAACTGAACACCCCACATTGAATTCAAACGGATACAGTTTATACTTAAAGGAAGAAATCTCAATGGAGACACAGAAATAGGTCCACTAAAGAGAACAACACCATATCAATCATCAGATGATGGAGATAACAAAATTAAAATAAAAAAAGTATGACACAAGGGATGCAAAAATTTACTGTCTTTAGGTCCATGGAATTCCACAAAGAACTCCTGCATGCCATCGTTGATCATCTCCACCTTGTAATCACTCATCATCCTGATTCATATCAATCCAACCCACCCCATATAAAAAAAAAGGTAAATTTAGACAATAAACTCTTTTTGAAATCGAAAAAAAAAACAACAACAAAAAATGTTCCGAACAGATTACAGACAGCTTCATCAAGTCCATGTCTCGGCGTTTGCTTGGGGAAGACATTGTCTTTCTCTCTCTCTCTTTCTCTCTCTGTGTACCTTTTGTTCTTGTGGGTGCTGCTGGCTTACACACAAACTTTGTGAAAGGCTAAGAGAGTAATTGAATAAGATACAAGACAGTGAGAAGCTTACTTCTAAGACCACGGTCCAAAAACAACATCATCCCAAACCCAAACAAAACCCAAATCCAAACTGGCTTACACGTAAAAAAAAGTGTTTATGTTATTTGATCATAATCTCTTCTCTTATTTATTGATAATAAGATAAGAGAAATAAAAATATATAAATTTTAAATAAGTGACTACATTGACCATTTTTTTTTACCTAAGAAGATCCAAATTTCAATTGGTTTAGACTCAGTGATGAAAAATTATGACCATAAATAACAGTGCAGTGAGTTTTTTAGGAAGTTTTTACTTTTTTAATATTCTTTAAAATCTAATATATACTTAATATCATTGCATTAAAAAAAGAGAAGAGGGAAAATCTATTGATTTTATTTATTTTTTATTTTGAAAAAAATGTGTAGAAAGGGTAATGACAACATTTTATAGACATCCTTCTCATGTCCCTGCGCCTTAATTTGGCTATCCCATTAACTGCACTTTATTATGTGCATGAATGACATCATTCTTGATCATTATAGCACTCCACACGACTTTTAAATTTTTAAATGTTTTTAAATAAGTTTTATTAATTATTTATATTTTTTTACATGTTCTAAAAATTTTAAAGGGGAAGGAAGTTTCTTTATTTTTTAGTCAAGTCAAACCATCAACTTCAACAAAAACTTACAATATTGCCTTTAGCTAAATTCATACCATGGATTGAAACAAACCATGTGCTAATAAGGTCACTTAAAAAAAATATGGATTCCACTTTTTCATCATGATTAAAAATATTGCATGCTTAAATCAACAAAATATTAGTGTATTATGCATAATATGATATGACAGAATTAAAACATTTTTTAGATAGCAATAGACTTACCATAACTGTTTCCTTTGATTATGAAGTTTGATGAATTTAATCATGTATAATTTTGGAAATAATAATAAAAAGAATAAGATAGTATTTAAAGCTTAAAAAATAAGGAAAAAAATGATAAGAAATATAGCTTTATATATGTGAGTGTGCGTGCGTACACGTGCATATTCATAGAGATGTATATATACGTGTGTGTGAAAATTTATGTGTATTTGGACGAATAAGTGGGTAACATAAAATATGTTTCCACAACTTACATTTCTTAAAATCTTTTTTCTAATTAAAAGTATAAGATTTTAATTATCAATTTTTTAATAATTACCAAATTTTTATTATGAAATATTGTGATGTCCTATGTGATTATTTCGAAAAGTTTGATTTAATTGTAAGTTTACATATAATTTGGACAATCATCAAAATATCTGAAAAATTACATCAAAGCTTAAAAAAATTATTGTACTATAAAACTTATAAAAAAATTATTATTGTTTTTTATTTAAGTTTCATTTAATTAGAGATTATTATATTTGTGTAACTAAATTATGGATAATTTATTGCTTGAAATTTGAATCTTATGAGTTTTTATTTTTATTTTAACACTTCATATTTTCAATTTAGATTACACTAGTACATTCAAAAACATTAAAAAAATTCTATAACTCATTTATGTATGTTTTATATCTAGATACAATGTATGTTTTGACGATAATAAAGAGGTAACATAAAAAGATAAGAGCTGGTTAAGAACAAAAAGCATTAATCATGTGTGAAAATTGAAGATACATGATTAAGTCACCCAAGAAGTATAATGAGATATTAAAGTGGCGAGAACATAGATGAATTATGAAGAAAGCTAACAATGGATCAAGAGCAACAAAGAAGAATAAGAGAAGCTAAAGTCACAAGACATGGTAAAAGAAGATCAAGTCCAACATAGTATCAATTATTGCTAATCAAGTCAAAGCATCAAGTTCAAGTAAAGAACTAAGATCCAAGACCCAAGACTTGAAGTTAAATCCAAAATCATATTTAGAATATATCTTAGGACTTAGAGATATATGTAAGTGTATATGTTGATTTGCATTGCATAAGCTTGAAGTTAACATTTTTTCATAAAGCATATTTCATGGTGTTTTAGTTCTTGAAAATGATTTGAAAAATCTAAGGAAAATGTTTTTGACATGTTTGAGAACCCCAAAATAATTTTTCAAAATTAAGAACATGTTCATAGAGTGGTCGGAGTCCTTTGGAATCAAATTGGACTGAGTTTACCGTAAAATATCACTTTTGTCGGAAAAATATCTATTACTGTTTGAAAAGTAACAGAATATTTTCTATCTGAAAGAAAGTAATCAAATACTTTTGAAAAGTAATCATATACTAACTAGCCAAAAAGCGTGTAATAACTATAAATGACTAATTTTCAATGGAAACACAGTATATTCATTCCAAATAGCTCTTAAACATATTGGGCACCATTTGTACACATTCTAAGAGTGTTTTGAAAGTAGAAAGAGCTTCATAAACATTCACTGAATCATGTACACAAATCAATCAATCTTGAGCTCATTCTTGCAAATTCATTATACTCACTTAGAGATTCAATTTGTATACTTGCTCTTTGAGAGGGTTATCATTTGATCATCATTATCCTACTATAAAATTATATTATAAGCTTGTCAAGAACCCAAGAAGCTTGGCGGTTGAAATGTTTCTAAACACTCGTGATGCTCAGAGGTTATAAGTTTACTAAGCACAAGTGAAACTTAGTGGATTGTAAGGTTTCCAAGAACCTAAAATCTTGGAGGTCGTAGAGGTTTATCAAGTACCCATGAAGCTTGACCTATAGTGAAAAATTGATCGATCAACTTCAGTCTGGACATAAGTCACAAGTGGTAGTGACCGAATTATGATATATAGTATTTGTAATTCTTTAAATTCTAAACTCTTTATTTCTAGCACTTTAATTGTTTCTTTGATATTTTGTATGTGCTAGTATAAGTTCTATAATTGTGATACAATATATGTTACGGATTGTTTGAACATATTGATTAACTTTTTAAATATAAAAGTTTGCTTGAAATAATAATTTAGAAATAAGAAAAGGATTTTTGTAAAAAATTCATAATACTCAATTTACCTCTCTTCTGAGTATGGAAGCCACATTCCTAACATCATATTCATTACCCAAGCCTATTATGTTAAAATTGGTATTCCACAGTAAAACTTGTAAATTTAATTAAAAATGAATTTGATAGCATTAGCTAAAATAAAGAAGTAATTTTACAGCACTAATAGTGATGCATTGTCCACTCGGATCTTATGCATTGTTCTCTCTTTAAATTAAATGAGCTCTTGTGTAAAAGAACATGTTAGAAAAATATAATACAAATATAATATAAAATCATTAATTGAACCTTCACTTAATTGCTTATAGAATCTAGTTTTGTTTCTACATTAGAATACACATATTATTTTGTTTCGATAATGCATTAGTTTTCTGCATTATATAAATTGATTTGGGTACAACTTAGAACTTGAATTTTTCAACTTTACCGTTTGTTGCAAGTTAATATTTCATGATTTGCTCAATGAGTAGTAAACTCAATCAAAATGTAGTTATATTTCAACTTTACCATTTGTCACAAGGGATAGTTATATTTACAAACTTTTTATTTACAAATTCTTACAAATTACATTATGTACTCCCAAAAGTATACTATGTATTTTCGAGAGTACATAGTATAATTTGCAAAAATTTATAAAAAAAATTTTGTAAACGGATCATTCCACTTTGTTATAAGCAAAAATTTTATGATAAGTTATCAAGTCCTATAGTTATATTCCTCATAATTCACTCACTAGATTGTAAATTCATCCAAATTGTGATTATATATTTTCAAGCAAAGTCACTGCTTCATTTCTTCAATTTGATCATGAAGTTTGTTATTGAACCGTTAGATCTGTTTCCCTTGTTGGTGAAATATCTCAATATTGCTCTTAAGATGCACTAGTATATATGGATCAAAACTTTATGGAAGAGTCATTGTGACTCTGAGTATCTCAAGTGAAGATTGAGAAATGAGGATGATAAAAAGGCATGATGATGAATGCAAGACTCCTTTTCAATGGTTGAAGTATTTATACGTAGGAAAATATTCTCTAATCATGTCATGAGGCAAATGCACCTCCCAAACGGATATGAGGTGAGCTGGTGTAGAGAGTGAGAAATATTTTATTATGAGGGTCTAAAAATCTCTATTTGAGAAAGTAGGAGAATGATTCCTTAAATGAGTTTAAAGATTACCCCAAAAACATAGTTGGTGAGACCAATCCAAAACAATTATAATTATTATAAGTGAGCCCAATACATTATTTATGTAACCAAAAGTAAAATCTTAAATTATTTAAATAAAATAATTTTTTAATTTATATTTCAACAATAGTATTTCGGATATCAAAGTATGTTGTGAAGCCTAAGGTGACAGATGTGATTAAATTGTAGGTTTATGTGTAATTTAGGCAATAATCAAAATATAGGAAAATTGTGTCAAAATTTAATAGATTATATTTTATAATACAAAACTTAAAAAATAATAATATTATTATTATCTATTTAAATTTCATTTAATTGGAGACTTGTCATATTAGATTAACTAAGGTATGCATCATGACTCCTAGGATAATGTGGTGGTGTTTTTTTTTTAACATCTCATAGTTCCAATATAAACTGTACTAGCATATAAAAAAAAAAACTAGCAATTAAATGCTCTAACACAGTTCCAAATGTATCATTTCATTACTCAAGTCTATAATGCCAAAATTGGCAATTTTTCCTGGTAGAATTTTTTTTTAAGAGAAAGAAACGTCATCCCGGCGAAAAAATTTAAATATTGCTTTTATAATAACAAAGTACGCAAACGTAGGCGTTTTGAAACTATTTACGCAGGTATAGCATCCAAACATGTCCACATGAGGCGTGACCAGGAGAGGAAAGAGAGACGCTCATGTGAGGCGTGAGCCATTAGAGACACGCCCATATGGGGCGTGATCTAGAGGAGAGAGACACGCCCATGTGGGGCATGAGCCAGGAGAGAGACACGCCCACATGGGACGTGATCCAGGTGGAAATCCTGCCCAATCAGGGTGTGAGTGGCCCAATTATACCCTGTTATACCTCTCTCCTCTCTACACTCTTCACAACTCTTCTCACTCATTATACTTATACTCCTACATTCATTTGCACTTGTTTATTCATATTTTGTTTTGTGTTTTTCATTATTATTTTTAAGAATGAGTTCAAATTTTGGTTCTATTCGTGTTGTTCTAAATTATAACGGTAGAAAAGAGGAAAGTCATCGCGATGTTGTTTTTGTAGGCGAGAAAAGGCCATCATGTATTAAGCGTAACTCAACTGTTGCGGAATTGCATCAGAAAATTCGACAAAAATAATGTCTCGAAGACAACCAATCGATCACTCTGGTCACGACAAGATTATGACAATGTGAACAATACATTAGTTTGCAAGTGGTCAATGACGAAGACATAGATATGGTAATGGAAGAATTCTTGAACCAGTCTAGAAAGGATTTCTTAGAGTTGTACGTGGATACTGCCAGAGAGGAGGATGTTATGTTACTAATGAGGTCAGTTGCTTGCAATTCTCCTCGTAATGCATCCTCATCTGCTGCTCCAGCTGTTAACATGTCTGAGGAAGATGAACATGACCCTATCTGGGTTATGGATGACGACTATGACGATGACGGTGAGGAAAATATTGCAATAGAGGATCGTCTTCTTGCAGAGGATGCGAGTGCTTCGGACAATGACGAAGAATGTGGCAGGTCCGCTACTCAAATCCAGCCATGACATGATTTGGGGGAGTCTCGAATCGTAGAACATCATGACATAGCCTCGAGTCAAATACCAGAACATCCTGAAGGTATATTAGGAAACAACTCATATATGCATATATGGTTTTGTTGATGTAATTAATTCTTGTTGTTACTATTATTACTTAGTACACGCAGGTGATGATGTTGTTACTCCTTTTTGGGCTGAAATTCCACATTACACATATATTGATTAGGATCATCCGAGTGACAAGAATCATATACCCAGAGTTCGGGTTCAATCCAAGGTCCATGGCAATTAGGGGGAAAGTTGTTTGTTAACCAGGAATTTACATCCAAAAAAGAGGCTCAGATGGCAATCAAGCACAACCTCATGAAGGAGCATCAAGAAGCAATTGTGATTGAGAGCATGCCTACAAATTTAAGCATGAAATGTTGCACGCATGAGCAGGGTTGCCCGTGGAGGGTCAGGGTAATTAAACCAACATAAGGTGAAAATCAGAAGGTTACGAAATGGGGTGAGGATCACAATTGCTTGAATGACCATATTTCTCAAGATCGCCGACAACTTGATTCTGACGTGATTGCATCGCTTGTAGTAGGTACGTTATTCCAGAATATTATGATATATTTAAAAACTGGTTCATATACTTGTGTTTGGTTTAATGTGTATATTACAATTTGTTTGTCAGAGATAATAAAAAGGGAATCATCAGTGTCAATTACACTGGTTCAGGAGAGGATCACTCATTTGGACGTGTCTCTCTCCTGGATCACGCCCCAAATAGGCGTGTCTCTCTCCTCCAGCTCATGCCCCACGTGGACGTGTCTCTCCTCTAGCTCATGCCCCACGTGGGCGTGTCTCTCTCTTCCTTCTCACGCCCCATGTGGGCTGTTTGGATGCTATACTTGTGTAAATAGTTTCAAAACGACTATATTTGCGTAATTTGTTATTAAAAAGGCAATATTTAAAAAATGTTGGCACATCATCCCATTCCAAAGTCAAGATTTGTAAATTTTTATAAAAAACTAACTAAAAAAAAATTGATAGTACTAAACGGCTAGTTTTATAGCACTAATAGCGAGCCTCCAAGAAGTAGCAACTGCTACTTCAACCAACAAACACAACCATCTCCAACAAAATTGATGGCAGCTTCCGCAAGTACATCTTTCAAGACTCGAGAATATGTTCATAGTTGCTTCCAAGTTCAAACACATTAGCAACTCTCCAGGCTGTTCTTTTCTATCTGTCCCTCTGTATGTTACACAATTTCCATAGCTGTTCTTTTATACAAGTCTGACCTAGGAAAATATTCCATCAACCTCAAAATGGTTCAGACCTTTTTATCAAAATTTCATTTTGTCTACTCCAAATCAGTGCACTGCTTATTCTCTGAACACTCCAGGAAATTAATACGTGGACCCTTGATAGCTTCCATCCCAAAACCATCACTTAAAGATCCAAATTCTACTTCATCATCATCACTATCAACACTCTTTGGAGTCACACGATTCTGATAGCTTCTTAATTGAATAAGAAATACATTGAAGTAATAGCTCACCAAGTTTCTTCTCGTCTTCTTTCGAAAGTATTTGGATGAATTGTTCCAAAAACTCCTACCTTGGGAGGGAATCTTTGACCTCATTATATCCTTGAATTTCTTTTCTTCTTCAGTTGTCCATTGAAGGGAAACTTCCTCACCCATACGATCAAATCCCCAATGGTAAAATACAGAACCCAATGCAAGCTTCAATTTCATCCTATTTTCAGCAATATGAAATCTAACACACTCAACAGAACCTTGAAATTGGCAGCTACACTTCTCTTGTCTTCCTCTCCCAATAAGATCTGTTTCAGTAGAAGGTTTTGAGTCATGTTTCAAAGGCCATACTTGTGTGCCTAACCATTTCGGGTCACTCTCAGAAATTACACCAGTCCATTCTGGGATTTCTGCTTGGAATAGAGGACCTATAGAAACTTGCTTTTTGAGAAAATCATCCCCAGCTGGCTCAGCCATTGGCGTTGTTTTCTCCGGAGGACATTTTTCTGCCTCCGTATTGACCGAAATTTCTAATCTCTTTCCATTGGTGGAACATGAATTGCAGCCAGAGCACGAGCGAGATTTAACACAGGTAGGCAGCCTTCTGCTACATCTCAATTTCGCCGTAACATGATGGCCAACATGATCCTCATATATGGAAGGATGCATCTTCAGCTTCTGCAAAACGCACAGATTCAGAAAATTCTACATTTTAGATTTTTTTCCACAAAACACAGTTAAATAAATTTCATAAGATCTTGTCTTCTAGCGGAGGCATTTATCAACGTTTCAATGTGAAAGCAATAACAGTAATTCCTTGCGGAATTTATGATCAAGGTTATATAAGGATTAAATACAGTTTGACCTCACGCATTTCAAAATTAACACGCACCTCCCCTGTGCTTTGTGAAAATCCATAGAAGTGGCAAAACTAACCATGTAGGCCGCTGTCTTAATAAACATGCGCTACTTATACAATTCACTATGTTAAGGACATAATATTAGATGTTATCCAATGACGAGAGAAGTCAGTAGAGTTCAATTATAATTTATAAAACATACTACTATGTAAGTTGTTAGAATTAAGAACAGGTATAATGAGTAGAATTAGTTCTCAGTGACTCATAGATGATTAGAGCTGTTTAGCTCTAATCTAGGAGATGATTCCTCTCATAATTAATACTGTACATAATATAAATATTTACCTGTGAGGACTGATTAGACACACAATTTTACCTCAAACCCTCTTCTAATTCTAGAGAGGTAAGAGAACTGTTAAGAACATCAAATCGGAGTCTAAACTTTCAAAGAAAAAGAGCTGAGAAACCAAGAAGAGAAACAGGAAAAGAACACTTCTGTATTGATTTACAGAATCACAAACAAATACCAAAGAAGAAAATCCTCTTTCCAAGGATTTCTCTTCCAATAAAGGGTTTCCCCTTTTACAACAAAGTTGTTTTCAATACTAACAAATATGAATACCTCTCTTTTACCCATCTAATAAGCTGATTCCCTACCCCAAACAACTTTAACCGCCCAACCACCTCACTTCTATAATTATTCTGACTAACTACCTTCTGGGACTCATATGGAACAAAGACCAACGGGGCTAGGCTGCATTTGGGACAAGGATTGACGGCCAGATTGCAATTGGGATAAATTTATCCTCTCAATGTGATGCTAACATTGAAAAAGAACCAGAAATCTCAACAGAAAATTTTTCCAGCAATGGGGGCGAACAATGCCGGGCTGCTAGGACATTTGCTGTCACCAGTGGGCAGTGCTTCCACCAGGACACAGAACGGAATTGCCTCTCATCAACCTGGCTCTTATACCATGTTGAATAATGAGAAAATGAGAGATATGTGTAAATCGGCTGGGCTAGGCTAAGCTTTGGTCCAAATAGGCCCGATCTATGTAAAATATTTTGAGTCTAGCCCGACCTATTAGGCAGGTATAGGCTAACTTATAGGTCTAACATAACCTATATTTAAAAATTAAAAGACCTATTATCCTATTTAATCTTATCATGTATTCAGAACTTATCAAGAATTTGAAAAATAATAATAATTAAAATAATATTATTTTACCGTTTAAAATTATTTAAATAATAATTATTTTATTTAAAATAAATAATATAGGCCAATCTGTAGTCTCATAGGTCAGGCCCCTAATGATAAACATATGATGAAAACTGTGTCTATAACAATTACATAACAATACTTTAACGATGTGGACTTCGACCCTTACAAGATTATTAGTCTATTTACAATATTTCCAACACTACTCATGCCAATGAAGGATATAGAAAGTCGGACCAAATTGTTAAGAACATCAAAACAAAGTTTGAATTTTCAAAGAGAAAGAACTAAGAGAGAAAGAGAAAGAACACTTCTCAGTTGATTTAACAATTCAAAAACAAAGAGCAAAGGAGGGAATCCTCCTTCCAAGGATTTCCACTTCAACCCTTCTCCTATTTAAACTAATTCCCTACACCTAACAACTTTGATTGCCCAACCACTTCACTTTCGTAACTATTCTAATTAACTAAAAACACTCCCTATTAAACCCTGACTATTGAGGGTAAGGTAGGGGTGAAAGCAATTTTTGTTGAGATATATAAAACTATTATTCTCTAACACACCCCCTCACGTAAGAGCCCTTTGGGCTAGAAGCGTGAATATTGCACAGGCCCAATTTTTTATTTACATTTTGTGCTTTTTATTTTAATTCCTTTAAATTGGGGGGCGGTGAGGATCGAACTTGTGACCTTGTAGTCACTCAAGCTCTGATACCATGTAAAGAACCAATTCAACCCAAAAGCTTAAGCTATTGGGTGAGGCTACATTAATAGTTTTATATATCTCAACAATCTTTATACGCAGTCTTACCCTTACATATTTGCAAAAATGCTGTTTCTCGGATTCGAACCCATGACCTTTCAGTTACAAAGGAACAGTTTTATCACTGCTCCAGGCTCTCCCTTTTAACTATTCTAATTAACTACTCTCTAATAATAAAAGCAACACTCAAAAGTTGAAGAACCTTAAGCTTAAATTGGAGTTTTGTATCTCACACCCAATCGATGGGTTCACACTCCCTGTGAGGTTCGAAAGAGTGATCTATTCAAATTAGGGGAATCAACTCCTAAAAATCAGGCTCTTCTATGGAAAGCTTCCATTTTAAGTAGGAATTTCTTGTCTCACCTAGCCAACATAAACTTATCCTCCAGTTTCAATTAGAAAATATAGTAAGCTCTGGTGTGGACTTGCTTACCTGATACGATACCAAGCTCAATTAAGAGAAGAAAAACTGATATTGTATTAATAAAGATGAACCTAACTCAAAATTCAGCAAATCCAGTACACAACAATGGAACGATAAAGAAAATAATAAGGAAAATGGAAAGAAAACGACAGAAAGTATATGAGTGACCTATACTAAGCCAGGACAAATTCGAGAGTGCCCTGATTTTCTCCCAAGCCCAAATTAGTCCCAAGTTCTAGCCTTCCTTCTAGTCATTTCTTTACCCTATTTATACTGATTCTTTCCTTGCATTCAAGTGTTGCTTCTCACGTGCGACTCTACCTCCCTGCCATTAGCAAAATTGCCTTCCACTCATATTTTATTCTAACTGCCTTGCTAACTCAGCTTCCTCTAGAATATACCTTTAAAGGTGGTTTTAGGTGTGGTATCCTATCAATACTCCCTCCCAAAACTCTCACCTTGTCCTCAAGATGAGGAGGCAAAAACCTTCCCCCGGGATCCCATTGCTTGAATTGTTGGGACCCATATATGCCTGAAGCATGATAACTTCCACCAGAATCCCACTAACCTTTTTCAATTGTTCCATCATCACTTTTCAGCACATGAACCTTTAAGGCACTAATTCCATCTCCGCTTTTCTTTGCCCCCTCAATGACTTTTAAAATAGCTTCTTTGTTAGATAAACAATTAATGATGCTTGAAAATTCAACGGTCAATGTTGTCCGGAGAAGCAAGTTATCATTCGCAAAAGCTCCATCTCACCCTCTGCTGCGTATCACACTGTTTCCTACAGCTGTCCCATTCCTCAATCAAGAAGACTAGGGTTTGGTGTTGGGAAAAAGAATGGACCAATGGGTCCATGACCAACCCAATGGACTTGCTTACAATTCCCGGTTTATGGGTATTCCATTTCAGAACTTTTAGTTGTTGCACCCCTTTAAGTTCACTCAACTCTAATTGGTTTATGGGCTCACAAGCCCAATTTGCTAACAAAAAAATAGGTGCAACACCCCCATTGTGTTGGGTTGGAAATAGTGGATCGTCCTTGGGGCCGGATCTATAATTTGACCCAATCCCCTTTCTGACCTGGCTCCTTGTACTTCGCCTCTTCTTGCCAACGATTTCTCACACAGCTGTGATGTGCTGCTTTGAAGGTTTGAATCTAATATCCCCAACAGCCTAGGGTTGACTCTCGGTAGGACCTTTAGTGACCATGTCCGCGGTGGGTTGGTCGTCTCCGTCAATGGCAATGGTGTCTCGTCAACCTTCACCGGTGTTTCTCCTTGATTTTTCTTCTTTGTCTGGTCATCTACCTCCTTCTCTGCCACCATGTTTTTCTTTTCTCCTATGACTTCAGACTTCCCCAACACACAATTTCTTGGTGACTTTGTTGCTAGTTGTGGAGGTTCTAGATCCATCTTCCATGTTTTGAACCACTTCTTCTTTCTCCTGATGCATACATAGACGACCTCATCCAACACCATTAGACGAACATTCTAGCTGCTCTTTCTCTTGACGACGCAAATCCGGTGGTTCTGGTAAGGGTGAAGGATCAACCACCACCAATGGAGCTCGTAGTGACTCCAACGACTGCTCACACATCACATCTGATTCCATAAGCCCCTCTTTTGAATCTTTTTTCACGAGTACTTGATTTTCCTCTTCTCTGTTTTTTTTTTTTTGTAAAACATTCTAAAATCGAAAAGAGTTCTGCTTTCACTGGATTATCTTCCTCGTTCTCCAACTTAGAATTTTGTTGATTTTCATATTCTGGCTTTTGAGACTTCGAATCTTCATCTTCTACCAAACAAATCTAAGGAAGATATTTTTCTACGAAAGCTTTTTCAAATTTCCTCCAGCTTACGTAAGGATTGAGCCACTCCAGCATTGGTACCAATTGAATGCAAATCCTCTAAGCCCTTTCTCAGCGTCTATCATCTTCTCTTCTTCTTGAGTTTTCTTGGTTTGAAAATATTGCTCAAGATGGATTATCCATCCCCAAGCATCATCTCCATCTCCAATTGATACGATACCAAGCTCAATTAAGAGAAGAAAAACTGATATTGTATTAAAAAAGCTAAACCTAACTCAGAATTCAACAAATCCAGTACATAGCAATGGAACGATGAAGAAAATATTAAGGAAAATGGAAAGAAAACGACAAAAAAGTAAAGGAGTGACCTATATTAAGCCAGGACAAATTTGAGAATGCCCTAATTCTCTCCCAAGCCCAAATTAGTCCCAAGTTCTAGCCTTCCTTCCTAGTCATTTCTTTCCCTTATTATACCGATTCTTTCCCTGCATTCAGGTGTTGTTTCTCAAGTGTGACTCTACCTCCCTGTCACTAACAAAATTGCCTTCCACTCATATTTACTTCTAACTGCCTTGCTGACTCAACTTCTTCTAGAATA